CATTGATATGATTTTGTACTGAAAGTTTTGTAGTTAATGCAGAAATCTGGGGTGCCCTAATAGGAACCAAGCAAGGATTGGCTGTGGCTTGCGCTGGTGTGTGGGCTTGCGCTGGTGTGCAAATACACGGGCATTTATAGCTCTGATACATGCAATGTGATCTTCTGTGAACACGCAATCTCACCCCCAGATGAATCCAATGATGAGGTTCTTATGGCTTGTCCTCTCAGGGTTTTTTCCTTAGCATTTATTTTGGTACATAATTAACTATTGTTTTATATGTACACACACACTTGAGAAGAAATCTGCCTCCGCACTGAGTACAAAGCACTCTCCTTTGCTACTGCTCCCTAAAGACACAAGACAGCAACCGTGCTCGGCGCTTACCTCGCAGTAAGTGTTGTTGGTAACTGGCAGATATAATGTGCATAGGGTACATGCAGAACTGTGCCATTTCATGTAACCACTTGAGTACCGCTGTGTGTGCAGGTAGCTGCAGAGTCTGGAAGGGCCTTCGACCCGTTCCCTGTGGACCCTGAGGGATGGTTTCTCAGTATCTCTCCCCGGCATCCACTAGAATTGGGAGAACAAAGTCCACCAGTCCACACCAGACACTCTACACCAGCTCCAGAAGTGGTGTCTGCGATGCCTTCCCTGCAAACATGAGCTTCACATTTCCAGCAACCTGCCCAGTCAGCCGTGTTGAGTGACATCACACTGGCCCAAGGCTGGCTTGGCCACTAAAGGAAAGTGGTCTTCCTGGGCCTGCTCACAGTAAGGAGTGAGTGTACAGACTTCCCCCTGGGAGAGCAGCCTGCCCAGGGCCAATGCAGCACATTCACGGAGTCACCCTCTATTAAAACACTGGGAGATCTGGAGGGGGCTAGGGTTAGATTCTGGGCACCCCTGGGGGTTGCAGCTGCTGCTGTGCTTGCAGTGATAAAAGCCATCCTCCAACATGAAGGACACATTCAGAACCCCAGAATCTCACCAGACACCTTCAAGAAGCAGAGGGCTGAGCATGTCCTCAGGCCGATGACTTCCTTCTGTGTCTCCACGGGGTAGGAAGAGGGAGAGGACATTACTACATCTCCAGTGACCAATATGGCTGTTCCTATGGTGTCTGCTTTCCCGCCAGCTTCCTAAGGGCAGACACTGAGGACCTGCATTGCCTCCCCATGCCCAGTGCATGGCTCTGTTCAGGGCACAGAGATGGTGGCACACAGCCCAGCTTTCACCTCTGACTCAGCATGGGAACTCTTCCCACCTGGTCGGCATTGGGTTTCATGAGTTCCGAGCTTCCCCGAAGCCACGTGTGATGTGGGGCTTCCAGAGACACTCAGAATGTGACCCAAAGAGCCACCTGTATGGCAAGAATCACCTCCACATCCTTTAGATGATGACTCTGCATGAAGAGGCCAGATCTTGGGTCTCTTAGCCAAGATCCCTCTTGGGTAGTTCATGTTTAATAAACACAGAGCGAACAGAGGAGTTGTGCTCCTCAATCCCGGTGTCCGCCTGCATCTTCCAGCACCTGCTGGGTCCATAGTGTGAACACGCTGACTTCCATGACTGGCACCTGTCACCGCAGTATCAATACAGCTCCTCCTTTCTTCCATTGAGAGAAGGCTGCGCCTCCCTGAACATGAGGCACCCTGGCCATCAGTCTTCTAGTAGATGTGGTGTACCCTGTGGCAAATGCAGCTCTGGTGGCCTCCTGTGCCACCTCCCAACTAGGAAACAAAGAGTCAGGGCTCCTGCTAGTCTGTTGTACAGGAGCTTGACTGGGGAGATCGGACCCCTTTGATCCGGGTTCCCATTCTTGTCGGAAATAGAATTTATTGATTGATACAGCAGATCAGCAAACTTAGCGTTTATTGAGAAGAGGAAATTTTACAAAAACCAATACCTACCCATTAGGGGGTGGTTTGGAGTGCTTCACCAGGACATACTGGGGTGCTTCAGATACTGGTGTGGGGTGTTGAGTGAGCAGCCCGCAGCAAAAAATATTTTCTAATTGTATCTCCATGCGGGGCTGGAACTCCATGTGACTTGGGGCTTAGACCGGAGTCAGTATGGTACAGAGCCAGGCTGACAGCCTCTGAGGAGAGCAGTGTGCAGAGGGAGGAAGAGAAGCAGAGGGGAGGGGACCTGGAGGGCCAGACACACACATCCTCTGGTCCAACACTCCTGCCTCGCCCCAGCCGTGGTTTATGAAGTACTCACAGCTCTGTCTGACTCCATTAAGCACTTCCATTTCCCTAAAAGACAAATTAATCTATTTTACTAGGCTGATAATTGGAGAGTATTAAACCTAAACACCACCTTAAAAGTCACGGAGAGACTTCCAGCTGCTTCTCTCAGGAAGTGCAGTCTGCTGGCTGTCCTGGAGTCTCATGGGCCATCCGAGGACACTGTGCTACCCAGTCTGGTACTCATCAGTCTTGACCCAGTGGCCAACTCTAATTCTATGTCGATGAAACAGAAAACAGAACTCATGGCACAGCAGAAAGGTCCAGCAGTGACCTTGGTGCCTGAAGGCCCTGACCAGGTCCCCTCTATCTCGGTGTCTTCCTTGTGTCCTTGGCTCTACTGCTCCCGCTCCCATTTACCCTCTCTACCTGCAAAACATACCGCTGAGCCTAGGAGACCACCGCAATTCCCTGCCATGTCTTCCTCAGGAATGCCACCTTCCTGGGGAGTCCCACCACCCCCACCATCTCTGGTCAGGTCACAGGTCATTCATCCGCTACTCAGGTCTACAGAAGAGGGTGTTCAAACAGGCTGAGGTAACAAGCTGGTGCTCACGTGGATCCTCCCTCTCTAGAACACTGCAGACAGTGGACATTCTGAGTCCTTGCCACCAGATCCAGCGTTGAGTCTGTGAGCTGCTTTTCTCATGGTGTGACAGGAGGCCTGAGAAAAGCAACTTAAAGACAACAGGATTAGTTTTGGTTTACAGTTTGAAGGGATACAATCCACCACAGTGGAGATAGCGTGGCAGAAGGAGTCGGAGGCAGCAGGTTACATTGTGTCCACAGTTAGGAAGGAGACAGGTGAAAGCTGGTCCTCATCTGTTTTCTGCTGTTTTTCCTTATTCCTTTGAGGAATGGTGCCCATGCTCGTTTCTGTTGCTGCACAAAGACTCTCCAAAGTCTCCTAGTTATTACCCACCTTGTTTGATACAGAGTTAGCTCAGTCACCGTCCCTGATACTATTAAAATACCTGATAGCCCCATGCACTTGCAAACAGCACTAGGGTATTATTATTGTTTTTTAAAGAGAGAAAGCACATGCTGTTGGGAGGGAAAAGTGTGGGAGGCTATAAGGCAGGAACAAGAAGGGAAGGGCTTCAAACACAATATGTCCATGGGAATATTAAATAAAACACACTTTAAATAGCTGCAAGCAACATCCCTAAACATAACTTTTTCACTTTTTCCCTTTTGTTGAAAATAAATTCTTTTCTCATACTGATATCTCATACGCATTCCTGACCAGAGGTTTTCCTTTCCTCTCTCCCCACCAGTTCCTCCCCCACATCCATTCCCTTTCTGACTCTCATTGGAATACTTCTCAAATACTTCTTTTTTAAAATTTATTTATTCTTATTTCATGTGCACTGGTGTTTTGCCTGCATGTATGCCTGTGTGAGGGTGCTGGGATTACAGTTTATGAGCTGCCATATGGGTGCTGGGAATTGAACCCTGGCCCTCTGAAAGAAAAGTTAGTACTCTTAACCACCGAGTCATCTCTATAGCCCCAAGAACAGGCTTCTAAGAAATAACAATCAAGCATGAAATACAAACAAGTATGGTAAGATGAAGCAAAAACTATCATACTGAAGCTGGACATGGTGACCCAGCAGGAGGAAAGGAGCCCCAAGAGCAGGACCCAGAGACATGGACCCATTTATTGAACGTGACTTCCAAATGGGTAAACTATAACCAGCTGGGGCTGGAGAGAGGGTCAGTAATTAAGAGCACTGACTGCTCTCCAGAGGACCCAGGTTCAATTCCCAGCACCCACATGGCAGCTCACAACTATCTGTAACTCCAAGATCTGACACCCTCTCACAGAAATACATGCAGGCAAAACACCAATGCAAATAAAAATAAATAAATAAATTTTAAAATGCTAAAAAAAAGTAAGTAAAAACCACCTGCTGGCGCTGGGTACTTCCCCAGGTCCACAAGAAAATGGCAATAATGATGATTTCATATATGAAAATTGTGTGCACTCAAAAACAACAGAAATAATATGGCCAGTGAGGAAAAGATAGATGATTAAATATTAGGTGTTTGTATTTAGTATTAATATAATGAGAATAGACAGCTTAGATTTTTATATCAATTACTAAGAGAATCAAAGAATAAAAACAGTAAGTTATAGAAAAACATATGTGATCCTATACCTGGGTGCATAAGAAGTCTCAAAGTATGCAGGACCCCTTGATAAATGCTAATAGAAAATAGGGAACAATTTTTACATTCACTGAGAAATTTCAAATTTCTTAGGTTAAGACATGAAATGAACAAAATTGTAATTCACGTAAATTCAGAAACAGGTAGAAAATAAGGTAATAATAGAGGTAAAGTAATAAATTTATGGTAAGAAATGTGTGAGAAGCTTGGGTAGTACAGAAAAGACTGTGTAAAACTGCAGGGATTGGACCGAAGAGACACAGGGTGGTTAAAGGCACAGGCTGTTCTTGCAGAGAACCTAAGTTGGATTCTTGGCACCCACACTGAGGCTCACAACTGTGTGCAACTCCAGTTCCAGTGTGCTCAGCACCCTCTTCTGGCTTCCATGGGTACCTGCATGCACACAGTGCGCATAAATTCACACAGGCACACATATGTACACAAAAGTAAATCTTTGTTTTTTAATCTAAAGGGGTAGGCAGAGAATAGAGAAGATATATGTGCTTCCTCACCCAAGCACACTTGGCTTTGTCAGCAACTAGAGAAAAGAATATATGTCACAACACACAACTGTGACCACTGGAGCCTTGCAGTGAGAAGAGTGGAGAGGGGGGTGTTCTCACACACAGTTGGGACAGATATTTTTGGAAGCCATTCAGCAGTGTATGGACATTCTCTGCTGCTTGGGACCTGGCGATCATCACTCCTGCGGGGCCGAAATCTGTCCTTGGGGAATGATGCGATATATAAACAAAATGTATAGAACCTTACTGTTTCTAACTTTAAAATAAATACTAAAGGCAGTGATATATAACTTCAGGAAAATAAAGAAAAACAAGTGTCCTGTGCATGTGCAGCCTCTATAGGTCATTACACAGGCTGGAGCAGCATCCCCCACAGGCAGATAGATTCAGGATGGCAGGTGGCAAGCAGAACCCCAATCTGCCTGCCTTGTCAGGAAGCTCCCACAGTTAAGTGTTGCAATAGGAGTGGCGGGGCTGCGTCCCCAACACCCCAGCCGCTTGGCTAGCTCATGCCCGAAATAACAACACACAAACTGTATTCATTTAAGAACTGCTTGGCCCATGAACTCTAGCCCTTACAGGCTAATTCTCGCACCTGGACTAGCCCATTTCTAATGATGTGTGTAAGCACCCCAAGGTGCGCTTACCGGGAAGATTCTAGCCTAAGTCCATCGTGGGTTGCAGCTGCCTGGGAGAGCAGAGCATGGCGGCTGTCCGGTCCCTCTGGAAGCAGCGCAGAGTCTGACCTCACTTCCTCTTCTGCCCAGAATTCTATTCTGTTTATTCCACCCACCTATCTTTTAACCTATCAGGGCCAGCAGTTTCTTTATTGCTCAGCCAATGAAATCAACAGATTGATATGACACTCCCACATCAGTTAAGTGGGTGCAGTGTGGGTGCAGATATTCAATTCCTGGAGAGTGTCTGACCGCTTGAACTGTGTTCCTTAAACACCAAGGCTGGAGAAGCAGTTCTGGGTTCAGGACCTTGGAGAACTCCAGTATGGTGGTGAGATGGGTGATGACACAGGATGACATCACCGCCTCCCAGAGGATGCTTGCTGTGGATCGCTGCTGCTGAGTCAAGCAGGTGGTGGCTGGAGAAAGAAAGCCATGACTGCAGCCTCTAGAGAGGACAGGGCCATAGCCATGGATGTACATACATACAAGAACTGGGCCTTCTTCAAAGCTGGGTGAGATGGAGCATTTACACATCCTGGCTTTAACCTGGTGTGGCTCTGAGTTCAGGCAAAGCTTCAAGTCCCCGAAAAGAGAATAAGAATGAAGCAGAATGATATCACCTCACTCGGGGGTAGGCTAAAGGGACAGAGCAGGGGAAACTCAGAACGAGCATGTCACTTTGTGGCTGTCCTAGGCTTTGGGCAGTGTGCTCTGTTGACTCTGTTATGCAACCTAAGTTTGCGAGGACTTGAGAGAGTTCTAAGAGTCAACAAAGCTGCAGTAACCCACAGGCACTCAATGCCATGCCCTGTGCTGACCCCATACATGTGGTAACTTCCTGCACGTTGTCCTGTTTGTCCATGCTGGGAAACCTCATCTTGATTCCGTGTAGTGAGTCACTGAGTATGCCTCCTGGGATGAAGGCAGCCTCACAGAGGGATCTGGGAAATGCATTCCAGCGCAACACTTTTTGGGGTACCTTGCAGCTGGTATGGGTTCCTGTGGCAGTCCTGACCACACAGAAGTAAGAATAGTATAAGGAAGTCCTCAAAATCAGGCTCTGCCATTGCCCTCCAGGAAGTCACATGACTTTGGTATGTATATAGAGGAAGGACAATTTACATGGAATTTGTTTTGCAAATAACCATCTGTTCATATACAATGTGTTGAAAAGTGATTTGCCCCTTTAAGAGTCTTCCTTTGTTTCTTTTAAGTAACTTGGTTAAATACATTTTATTTAACATTGCTACCTATTAGCGTACCTTAGCACTAGCATCAAATTCTATTTAAAGGACACACATAAAATATCATGTTACTTCCTAAGTAAAAGGGAACCGCCAATATAAATGCTTGCCTAGATTGAAAGACTGGATTCTAATACTTGAAGCTGGGTAGGGTGGTTGGAGAAGTGATTGCCTTGTAACTATGAGGCCCTGAGTCTTGCTGGCAAGCCAATCTAATCCAAACAGTGAATCCTAAGCCAACTGGAGATATCTTCAAACAAAACAAAAGCTACAGCATGGATGGCAGCTGAGAACAGACACCCATGGCTGTCCTCTGGCCTCCATACATACCTGCACACACACACAAATATTAGAAAGTCTCTGATTTTTTTTTCTCTTCTGGAAAATGTATCAACTGTGTTCTATAAAATATTGCTACCGCATGCCATAAGGTATAAAAGAAGGTAACAAGGTCATATTTTCAGTTTTAGAATGACTAAAACTTCTGTGTGGTCAGGAACTATAGGAGCCAAGCTTAGAGAAAAGACCATCACTAGACCCACCTGCCCTTTGGAGGGTGAAAGAGACTACTTAAAGGTCAAGGCACACAAACTGACGGCCAGCAGATAGATGCCAATCCCCACATAGAGAAGATCTGAGGAATACCAGATGAGGGGTTCTTACCTTGTGACTGGGTCTGACTCTTGAACTATGGAACCCCAAATTAAAGAAGAACCAAATTAGATTTATTCTAAAGTGTAAATTTCAGTGAATTTTTTTAAAAAAGTTGATATAAACTTTTCTATTCTTTTAGTTTAAGGTTATGAGTCTATTTGGGTGTAAGAATTTTTATTTAAACTGAGCCTAACAAAATCTTAGAACAAATATTTTACCATATCACAGAATCTAAACGTCTCCTTTCAAAAGGAACAGAGAGGGGCAGGGGAGTGGTGGCTGAGCCAGTATTTGCCACAGAAACATGAGGGCTTGAAGTCAGACTTTCAGAACCGTGTAAAAAGCCAGGAGAAGCAGCATGATCCTATCATCCTGGTACTGGAGACTTGGAGACAGGAGATTCCCTCCACGTCACTGGAAAGCCAGGCTAGCTGAACCTAGTGGAGAGCCAGGCTAGCTGAGCCCACCAGAGAGCCAGTCTAGCCAAACCTATGAGAGAGCCAGGCTAGCTGAACCTGTGAGCTCTACGTTCAGTGAGAGACTCTGTCTCAAAAAATAAGTTGGAAAGAAATGAAGAATGAAATGCAACATGGGACATGGACTCCTTGCCCATATTCACACACACACACACACACACACACACACACACACACACACACACACCTGAACTGTGTACCTCGCATACCTGTGCACACGCAGGAATATACGTGCAAGAAGTAGATTAAAAGAAGACTCGGCCTTTGAACAAATGTTAGCGGTTCTAGCCTGGGAGTAAGATGAGGAACATAAAGGAATCTGAAAAGAGGACGTGAGAATAATGATATTTCTACAGTGTCCCCATGGAAATCTCCCCATATATTCAAAATATGAGGACTAGTAAGAGCATTGAACAATATCATTGGGCGTTTTATTTCTTTACCCATGCAACAACAATTTTTTAAGACACGGAGTTTTGTATGCTGATAGTATTGACAAAAGGAACAGAGGAGGCAATGTGCTAGGAAGAAATCTAACCACATGCTTGAGACCTCTATGGGCAGTGTTACATGACTGTGTACAGAGAGTTGAAAATCTAAGCAGACAGGGAACTGTGCCATGTCTGTGGGTAGGGAGCCCAGTGTCTTTAAGGATGTCCAGTGTGTCTCTAAATTTCCCACGGCCCTCAAAAGGTGGGTCATTAAACTTGTCAAACTAGTTCTAATCGTACCAGAAATGGGATTAACTGATAATCCAGGAGCATCCATAGAATGTTGGGGATTTGTGGGGAGGTTTCCTTTAAATGCACAGTAGTTAAGACTGAGCCGTTTTGGCCTCTGATAAACAACAACATCACCAGAGGGAAGCAGAGGACACAGAGTTTGACTGTGCAACCGTGCAGCGCTGATGCGCCAGGGAGGCTCAAAGTCACACAACGTAAAGTCACATATTCAAAAACACCTCCCAGTCCATAAGCAGGGAGAGAAAAGCGAATCGGAGCTATCGCTGTGCTGCGGAGATGAGGATTTATACAGGTGCCTTAAGCCCTGGACAGAGAAAGGGGATGTGGGAGTAAAGACTTGAGAACTCGGGTGGGGAGAAGGAAGCAAATGTTTAAACAAAAACACAATTTCAAAATCCAAAGGAAAGTGGAGAAAATTAAGTAAAATTAGGAATGGCCACTCCTTCAAAAGACAGCTTAAAGAAAATGGAGATACAGGTAACCAGCTGGGGAGCATGTGTGTCACGAAGCATCAGTCCTTGGTCTACACGAACAAGACCTGAAAGCTACAGAGACAATGTCCATGTTTGTGCTTCTGGGGCATTTGCAACCTGCTCGCTCGCTTTCAGTAATTTCATTATGTACGAAAATCAAATACAGGAAACCCCATTCCTCTCTCTGAAAGTGTGGGGGATATACGTGTACATTCAAATGAGGTTGATAAAAAAAAAAAACAAAAAACAAACAAGGCATCTCAGGGGACCAAGAGACAAGGAGGGAATCAAGACACCCATAAGATCCAAGAGACATGGGGAGCGAGAGGCCCAGAAAGACCAAGAGAAACAAAAGGCCTGGAAAACCAAGCTATGTGATGGGGCAAGGAGACCTGGGCAGACTAGGACACCTGACAAATCCAAGAGACCTGGAGGGACTAAGACCTGGAAGACCAAAGGATCTGGGGGACCCTAAATCCCTGGGAACTTGGGATAGCACCTCCAGGCACAGCTGTCGGTGGGGCGAGGTTGACTGTGGGACCACTGAGCACACTTGGGGCTGATGAGCCAGAAATGATTCATTTTGTACTTAGGTCTGTGCAACTTCATCGCCAGACCTCGTAACTCACGTCAAGTGTGACCTGAGTTGTGCGGGCAGTTCCTGGTACTGTAGTCCATGGGAATCAACCAGACGCTGAACACAATTCCTCGCCTTTCCAGACTGCGCCACAGTCTCCCTTTCCTGTGAGAGGGTCAGCTCCTAACCTTGGCTTTAGAGGACCTGGGTTTCCTTCAGGCTGCATTCTCTGTGAAATGGGCGCTCTCAGTCCTCATAGTAAATGTGTTAACTCTCACAGCTATGTCTAAAACTGTAATCCATCAGGGCTTACTTAAGAGAAAGGGGTTCCCATCCTGGGAGAGCCACTTGGGATGGGAGACATCATTTCAGATGGGAAGAGCAAACTTACTTCAAACTGAAAGAAGGAACCGATCATGGAGGCAAGTGGCTGGTGAATCAGTCATGTTTAAGAAGCGGCTGGACAGGAAGGGCAGGGAGTGGAATGCCAGTTACATGCATAGAGCTGAACCTTCTGTGTTGTCCATCCCTTGTGGTTCACTCCTGGAAGGTTCCCCACAGCATGGGTAGATGGTTACAAACTCCTCTTTGAAGCTGCAGTATTGGAGACAGGTCCAGTCAGTTTAAACCCTATGTGCTCAGAGACTGACATTGATGCTATAAAATGAAAAGATGGGAGAAAACAAGGTTTCTCTTAAAGTTGCCATAATTTTCTTCCCATGTGGTCACGTTTATTCCTTTTCTTATGCACACATAATTTTCTTCAAAAGGCAAATCTATTTAATTAGAATGGAGGTTAGCCTCCCTCCCTCCTCCCTCCTATTTCTCTTTCATCGTGTGTGTGTGTGTGTGTGTGTGTGCGCGCGCGTGTGTGTGTGTCATTGTGTTCTGAAAATGTATGGTGGTGCATAGCCCAAGATAGTCTCAAACTTTTGCAGGTTCTCCTGCCTCTGCTGGCCACATGCTGGGACCTCCAGCTCAGCCCAGCTCACCACAGACTGGTTTCATCATTATGACTTTGTGTCATCTTTTCCCAGAATCTTCCCAAGGGTGGACTCTAAGGCGAAGTCTGACAACGAAACTCCCTTGGCTCAAAGATTAAAACCCTAGTAACCCATTCTTTTGCTGTGTTTTTAATACGTGTGCATAAAGTATGGTCTTAAGAGAAAACTGGGAAAAAAGACAGAGACCACCTTTTCTACAAGTTGACTAGGGTGGGCTAAAACAGCAATACCAGGAATTAAAACTACAGTTAAGAGAAATACCAGATGATGTTGTAATAACATGTTACAATTTCTGTTTTCAAATTCTATGTCACAACCAAAGATGCTTATAAAAACCCGAGTCCTAACCACACAAAGAAGTGAGCCTTAGGGAGGCAGAAGGGCACAGAGGCAAAGACCTACAGCCTGGATCTTTGCAAAAGACGGGGCTCCAAAAATACCCGGAGCACGTTCAGTCACTTAGTGTTTGCTGGTTTTTATGGTCTGAGCTGGAGATACACTAATGGCCTGTACACCAGTCCATTTTAGCACGCAGTGCAGGATGGGAAAGTCATCCTGAACCCTCTCCTGTCTGTGAAGCTTTAAAATGCAGCACACACTTACCCAGATAAATGTCAAATATTGGTACATCTTAGCTCTTTTGTTTTCTTTTTTGACTGAAGTGCATAATGGATTTTCAAATGTTCAAATTCAGAACCTTGAAGATGGGCACAGGGAACAACGTTTTAAGAATCACACATAGCTCTTTTGGCTTTTTTGTTTGTTTGCTTTTGTTTTGTCCCGGAAGCATCGGTATGGTGGTCTCTGAAACACTGAGAAGGAAGCAGCCAGCGTTGGAAGGCCCGCTGCTATTGACTTCCCAGTAGTAACTGTTAGAAGGTGCTTGTCTGCAGGGGCAGTCTCTAGTCTTCAGCTTTTTAGTGGCAGGGGATGTGGCTTGAAAGGTCCTGCCTGCACCTCCCAAGCTGCTGTGGTCACTTGGCTTTGGGGAAATTGGGAATGCTTGTACTTTTCAGTTACTTCGGTATGGGTACTCTCATTTGTGTTAGAGATGTGCTAAACAAGGCAAAAGTGTAGGGCAGGTGGGAAGAGGTAAAAGGCTTTGGTTTTTGGTTGCAGCCTGGAACCTAATCCAGGGTTCTACCCATGTTGGGTCAGGGTTCCACCACTGAGTTACATCTCCAGTCCTAATTCTCCTAGTTAACCTTTTATGAATCTGTGGACTCATAGGACAGGTGGTGGAAACTCCCTAAGCAGAAGGTAAAAGACTTCAGCTCAACACCCCATGACAAAGAATCATATACTTATGACATCTGCGTTTGGAAGGATAAAATTTTAAATGTCCCCCACATACTGCTAAGAACCACATGTCATTATTTACTGTTTACTACTGCTGATACATTTTTGAGATTTATTTTTATATATGTATTTTACATGTATGTGTGAGTGTCTATACATATGTATTGCATTACATGCCTAAATTGTACCCATGGAGGTCAGAAGAAGGTGTTGAACCCCCTGGAGATACAGGTAGTTATTAGCTTCCATGTGGGTGCAGGGTACCGAATTCAAATCCTCTGCAAGTGTAGAAAGTGTTCTTAGCCACTGAACAGTCTCTCCAGTCCTGGTCTTTAATTTTTTAATATTTATTTTATTTGTGTATGTCTGGGTGAATGTCACATGTATTTGCGTGCCCTCAGAGGTCAGAAGAAGGAATAAGAGTCCCTAGGGCTTTGTAGACAGTTGTGAACCATCTGCCAGGGTCTTCTGGAAGAGCAGTAAGTGCTTTTAACCACTGACCCATCTCTCCAGGCCCAATTACTGCTATTGCTACTGTATGCCAGATTTTGTTTTAAATGTAGCATCCTAAAGATGTGATTGGCAGTACACACATCAATCAAGCCTTTGGATTCCTCCCCTCCGGGTAAATAACTACTCTCTCTGAAGACTGCCATTATGTAGCAGCATAAAATAAAATACAGCATCACCTAAAATAAGACCAAGCAATTCAAAAGAAAGAAAGAAAGAAAGAAAGAAAGAAAGAAAGGAATGGTTGCATATTAGAATGAACTAAGGAGCTGCACACAGCTTTAATGATCTCACTGGGAAACATCATCATGGTGAAGACTTGGGAACTGACATTTGCCATTTATAGTTTTGAGGGTATGTTTTCTTTCCCACTCATATTTTTCAAAAAATCATTTTGATATCTTTCTATGTGACTTTGGCTTATTCTAAAAAGAATCTGAGATTGAATGGCCAAGGTAAAAGCATGTTTGGATTTTAACTCAGGTTTGACCTAGTAATCATAGAATAACTCTGGGTTTAGATACTTGATTTATTGTGTAGCTAATGTGGGATTCCCCTCTGTATGCTGTGAATATGTTTTGTTACCATTGGTTAATAAAGAAGCTGTTTCAGCCAGTAGCTTAGCAGCATAAAGCCAGGTGGGAAATCAGAACAGATAGGGGGAACAGGAGATGTCAAAGAGATGCCATGTAGGTACTGAAGGAGACAGACACTGGATTCTTACCAATAACCCACAGCCTCAAGCTGATCAATAGGTGAACAGAAATGGGCTAATTCGGGATGTAAGAGCTAGCTAGGAATATGCCCGAATCATTGACCAAACAGTGGTGTAATTAACAGTGTCTGAAACGAAGGAGCAGTCTCCGACTCCACGCAGCTTTGTTTCCTGAAGCTTTAATTCAGCAGTGATGTCGTGTGGAAACGTGCGTGTACTGGTTCTGAAGCGACCGGTCTGTTGACAAGAACTCCTTGCTCAAGCCCCCTACTCACCTGTTCTTGCTCTGGGTCACTCAGAATCAGTGTTCTCTGTTGTATCTCAAATCACTTTCCCTCATCAGCCCAAAGAGCCATCAGGGTTCCCTGCCCTGTGGGAAGTCCAAGGACCACCCACTTTCACTACCTTTCTTCAGGATCCCAGCAAAGTGGAGATGTTACGTGATAAACAATTTCATATAAATAAAACCCTCCAGCCACCAATGGAGGTATAGCTGTGCTCACGGGATGCCTTGGGGAGAGACATCGCCAGTGGGTGGCAGTATGGGTAAGAGTCAGCCACATTTGCTTAGGCTGCTTCTAACACCTTAGAATTCAGACTTTAGAAGCAGCCTGCTAATGGCTGTAGGGACATGGCAGGTTTCAGAAGGACACAGTTCCACCAAACGTGGGGCACCGGCAGGAGGCGGCTGGCTGTGTCTATTACCTCGGGAGGAACTTGCAAACCCAGGCCAACTGCTTGCTCCTGATCAGCACACAGCACCAAAGAGCACAGGTTGACTTTGCTCTCCCGAGGCACGGGGACTGGCAGAAGGTCACTCCCAGCTGTCTCTACTCTGCATCCAGAAAATATAGCTGTGTCATGTTGGAGACATTCTTAATGTCACCGGCATTGCTCTGTGAACCCAGGAACAGACAGTGCTTACTTAAAAAGTTACAGTGATTTTAGCATTCAATAAGCTTTTATTATTAAAAATAAAAAGATTTTTAATGAGCAGAATGAATACTAAAGTGGAACACCATTACAATGTCCAAGGAATTAATATAAACAATTTATACAAACTCCTTTCCTTCTTCCTTTTCTTTTCTCTCCCTCCTTCCCTCCTCCTTCCGTTCTTTTGTTTGTCTGTTTTCCTTCATTTTTGAGAAAAGTTCTCAATAAGGAGCCCTGATTGGGCGGGAGCTCACTATAAGTAAGCTAGGCTAGTCTTGAGCTGGAGATCCACCTGTTTCTACCTGCAAATTCTGATTGTTTAACTGAGCTGCTAGGCAGAGATACTAAGTAGAGCAAACAACAGTTAACATTCTTGCAGGGAAGTTATCCTGTTGCAAACACAGAGTTCACATGTTACAAAATTCTTGTGCAATTTCAGTTGAAACATACTAGCAAAGAGATGGGGGGGGGGGGGACGACTCATACAATGCCGCAAGTCCTCCTAGTAATCCTAGAGGGGCAAGTGTCTGGGCAAGGTTCATTTATCAGAAATGCAAATGTTTCCATTAAGTTTGTGAACCAAGTTACTGAGCCCAGAGCAACAGGGGAAAGGATGCCATTCTTTCTAAAGAGTAAAAGGATCCACCAACATGAGCTAGTGCAGGGCTTCCTGGGACACGCTTAAGAGAGGGGTGGGACACTGGCTGTGTAACTTTCCACTTACCAATCCACTCAGTTTTCAGAGCTGACCTAGACAGAAAAGCCTAATACAGAAAGGATTTAAGAAAAAAAAAAAACTAAAAACTATGTGCTTTTCTCCCATTTTAGCCTATCTACATGAATAAAAATCTATGATCCTTTATGGTAATAGTATTTATATCGTGGATTTTAAGACATTTTACCCATTTATACAATTAATAACTTAATGAAAATACTTAAATTACTGAAAGAAGAATTTTTTAATTTAATAAAAGAAGTATAATTGCATGAACGTATGTTAAGAAAATCCCAAATCTTCCTTGATAAAAAGCTATGGTGGTGCATGCCATTAGTCCTGGCACTCAGGGGGGCAAAGGCAGGCAGATCTCTGATTCAGAGGCCAGCCTGGTCTACAGACTGAGTTCCAGGACAGCCAGATCTACACAGAGAAACCTTGTCTCGGAAAACCGAGACCCAACTAAACAAAACCCTGACAAATGGCCATCTGTCAGCTGTGAAGCGAAAGGAGAATTCTAGGGAAAGATCCCAAACCAGGATGAAAACCTGCAGCAGCCAGGCTGTTGGCTGGCAACAGTCCAGGTGAGCGGCACCCAGGCCTGTGAGCCCAGCCCGTTGACAGATGTTTAGGAGACAACTTGCACTGAGAAAATATGAGGGAACAGTTGGATAATCACAAGATACCCGACCAGCTTCCAGTGAATAAGCAGCTTCTCTGGCAGCAGGAAGGAGAGATGGCAAGGGGCTCTGGGGTTGGGGATCTCAGCTGGAGAGGGTAACTCTCACTTTAGCACTGGGAAACCGCGGGGCTCCGCGGGGCTTCAGAATGACAAACACCTTGCTGTAAAGAGCCCTGTCACCTCTGTGAGCAGAAATGTCATAGTGGTGGTGCCTTTTCCTGGCTTCTTGGCAACCTAGGCAGCATACAGAACAGGTCACTGGCCAACGAGGAGGTTCTGACTCCTGGTTCTTAACATTAACACAGCCCCAAGGAAAACAAAGTTGGTACTGGCCAAGCTCCAGCGGCCACAGAACGTCATCACTCAACGCATTCCTAAAAATCTAATTTTGTATTAAGAGTCAAAATAAAAAAGAAAACAAAGTGGTTACCAAAGATACTTTCTCAAAGGGAAGCCTAGGACACTGACATAGTGGCCCCTTGTCCTTTGCTATTTCAGGATACAGAGCACACAGGCCCATTTATGTGTCTCATAAAGTGAACGTAAATTATCACAATCAATAAAAATCGAGCCACATTTTCTTCAGGCTCTAAGATAAAAACCCTGTCATGTTGTCATGTTCTTCTGGGTAGAGATAACGCTTGGTGATAGAAGAGGAACAGCCAGCTCCCAGAAGACAGAGTGTTCAGCATACATATGGGTGCGCGTGCATTAGGTGTGCAGTCACACATATTTGCACAATACAGGAGTGAACATTTACAGCTGCCTTCACGGCTCTCTTACTTTTAAAGGGCGTAGTTTAAATTCAACTGAATTCAACACACCCTTCTGAGGTTAATTTTATGATGATATTTACTACATTGATGATTTTTCGCAAACTTTTGCTGTTCATCATTCCAATCATAACCATATACATGCTAAGAACAGGACAGGTCCAATATTAGCTTGGGTTATCTTGGCACATTTTATACTAAGGTTAAAACATCCACGATCTTCAAAATCACAATGTGCAATTGTTTTTCGTAGACATGTCATTGTATTTGCAATGACGTTTGTAAATTATGCAGGGTATTCCAAGGCGAACTTCCAGGATTCCGTACAAAATAACCAAGGTTATACTGCAAGATAAACGCCTTGTCACGAATTGTTTCATTTAGATCCTCTCCCCCCCCACCCCACCCCACCCCCGCCCCATGGGCAAGGGTTTGTTTTGTTTACCCACCTAGATCAGGATTCCGAGCCTGCCCTCTGTGAACTCGGATCACTGCCCTTTCTAGCGGCCCTCATTCTGTTAGGAGACTGACGTGCGGGTGCTTATTTGCCCTCGACTTTGAAAGTCACAAAGGCCACGTAGATAGAGAAATTCAAAGCAGTAGTTCAAGGGCATCTTTGGCTTGGCCCTGTGCCCGCGGCCGCGCTCCTAGGTACGGCGACGCCCGCCGGTATCCCGGGTGTGGGGTGAGCAGGGCTTGGGGTGCGGGCTGGGTGCGGTAAGGGCGCGGGGCGCGGGAAGGACGCCCGCCAGCACCCGCTCCCAGCTCCCCGCTCCCGCCCAGGCCCGCCCTTTCCCGGCACTATGGAAACCGCATTTTCCTACGCCAACACGCCCTCCTCCTCTCTCCTATTACATCCAGAACAGGCGACTTCCACTTCCCGGGAACCTGACAAGTGAATGGCTCTGATGACGCCCCGGAAAGAGCCCACGACCGGGGGCGGGCGCCCGCGGAGGGTGGGGCGGTTCCGGGGCGCCCCTCGCACGGCTCGCCGCCGGCAAAAAATAAAAAATAAAAAAAATAAAAAAATAAAAAAACATGGAACTGCCATCGACCCATAGCTCGCAGGCAGCGATGTTCGTAAACAAGCCGGGCCGCGCGCCTGCCACCCACGGCGGGCACCGCCCTGCGCCGCGCGCCCACCCCGACAGCTGGGGTCCGATCGCCGCCCCGCATCGGCTCCGTCCTCCCGCCCCCGTTCTCCCTCACCGGCGGAAGCCTGGGGCCAGTTAGCAGGGCGCGAGGCAGGAGCACAAACCCCGCACCCGCCTCCTTCGTAGCCAGCTTCCCGCCCAGGGTGGCATCGCCCCCGCCCGCATCCACAACGAGCCCCTGATTAATGAGCCCGGCCCGGCCCCCGCCGAGCCCCGGTCGGGCCTCGGCGGGAGGGGGAAGGGACGGCGGGAAACGCGGCCCCGGTGTCGGCCCGCCCCCCCGCGCCTCACGCCCATTGGCCAGGCGCGCCGTCCGTCGGGGAATGCGGCGCCAATGCGGGGCGGTGGGGCGGGGCGTCCGCGCGAGTGTGCCTGCGTAACGCAGAGTCACGTGTTGTTTTGCTCTTAGTTCAGTCACTCGGTGCGCGATGTGTTACTCACTGTGCGGCGGGGACCGCGACAAGCCCGGGTCGTCGTTGTCGGCATTAGCAGCAGCAGCAGCAGAAGCAACGGCCTCAGTGGCGGCGTGGGCCCCGAGTGTCCGGACGCAGCCCGGCGTCGCGCAGCGCAGAACGGCGGCAGCAGGCCGGCCGCGCGCGTCCTAAGCTCGGCCCCGCGAATCGGGGACCCCGACTCTCGGCCCAGCCAGCCAGTCCCTGGGCGCCGCCCGAGAGCCCAGGAGGCAGCAGCCGCAGACAGTCGGAGCGAGGGGCGGCGACCGCCCGCGCCGAGCATCCTTCGGAGCGGCGGAGGGCCCTGCGCCACCGAGCCGCGCGCGCCTCCTAGCCCACCGCTTGGGCCCGGGGGACGCGCGCGCGTGGCCAGGCGGCCGGGCGACGGGTGGCGGGGAGCCGCCCCCGCCCGCGCCCCTCGGCCCTCGCCATCCCCTCCGCGCCTAGCCTAGAGGTGCGGCCTGAACCGGCGGCGATGGCTAGCGCGCCCCTACCCGGGGCCCCCGCGCCGGCGGGCGGGGATGGCCCGAACCTCAATAACAACAACAACAACAACAACCACAGCGTGCGCAAGTGCGGCTACCTGCGCAAGCAGAAGCACGGCCACAAGCGCTTCTTCGTGCTGCGCGGCCCCGGCACGGGCGGCGACGATGCAGCCGCGGCTGGGGGGTCGCCGCCGCTGCCACCGAGGCTGGAGTACTATGAGAGCGAGAAGAAGTGGAGGAGCAAGGCGGGCGCGCCGAAGCGAGTGATCGCGCTAGACTGCTGCCTGAACATCAACAAGCGCGCGGACGCCAAGCACAAGTACCTGATCGCCCTCTACACCAAGGACGAGTACTTCGCCGTGGCAGCGGAGAACGAGCAGGAGCAAGAGGGCTGGTACCGCGCGCTCACCGACTTGGTCAGCGAGGGTCGCTCTGGCGATGGGGGCTCGGGCACCGCGGCCACCGGCGGGTCCTGCAGTGCCTCTCTCCCGGGCGTGCTGGGCGGCTCGGCGGGTGCCGCTGGCTCCGATGACAACTACGGGCTCGTGACGCCCGCCACGGCAGTCTACCGTGAGGTGTGGCAGGTGAACCTGAAGCCCAAGGGCCTGGGTCAGAGCAAAAACCTGACTGGTGTATACCGTCTATGTCTGTCTGCGCGCACCATCGGCTTCGTGAAGCTCAATTGCGAACAGCCGTCGGTGACACTGCAGCTTATGAACATTCGCCGCTGCGGCCACTCAGACAGCTTCTTCTTCATCGAAGTGGGCCGCTCGGCCGTCACCGGCCCCGGCGAGCTGTGGATGCAAGCCGACGACTCGGTGGTGGCGCAGAACATCCACGAGACCATCCTGGAGGCCATGAAGGCGCTCAAGGAGCTCTTTGAGTTCCGGCCCCGCAGCAAGAGTCAGTCGTCCGGGTCGTCGGCCACGCACCCCATCAGTGTGCCGGGCGCGCGCCGCCACCACCACCTGGTCAACCTGCCCCCTAGCCAGACCGGCCTGGTGCGCCGCTCACGCACCGACAGCCTGGCGGCCACCCCGCCAGCAGCCAAGTGCACCTCATGTCGGGTCCGTACGGCCAGCGAGGGCGATGGCGGCGCGGCAGCCGGGGCCGGGACAGCGGGAGGCAGGCCGATGTCGGTGGCCGGGAGCCCCCTGAGTCCTGGGCCGGTGCGCGCGCCCCTGAGTCGCTCGCACACCCTGAGCGGCGGCTGCGGAGGCCGCCCGAGCAAAGTGACGCTGGCGCCGGCAGGGGGCGCCCTGCAACACAGCCGTTCCATGTCCATGCCCGTGGCGCACTCACCGCCCGCTGCCACCAGCCCCGGCAGCCTATCCTCCAGCAGTGGGCATGGCTCGGGCTCCTACCCGCTGCCTCCAGGCCCCCACCCGCATCTGCCTCATCCGCTGCACCACCCCCAAGGCCAGCGTCCGTCCAGCGGCAGTGCCTCTGCCTCCGGCTCCCCCAGTGACCCTGGTTTTATGTCCCTTGATGAGTATGGCTCCAGCCCTGGCGACCTGAGGGCCTTCAGTAGCCACAGGAGCAACACGCCCGAGTCAATCGCGGAGACCCCGCCAGCCAGGGACGGCAGTGGGGGCGAGCTC